CCAGGAAATCGTACAAAAACAAACGAATTAGTCGAGACCATCATCGAAATTCCTTACAGGATTCGGGGCGCTTTTCCGCGTCGCGGTCGGCTCTGCAAAACAAGCGTTTCGCTCGAGACATCCTCGGCAAACTCTGCGGAGCAAGCGTTTCGCTCGAGACATCCTCAACACACGAAAAAGTGGCCCGCACCCTGTGATTATCGATCGGGATTTCAAAAACAAGCGTTTCGCTCGAGACATCCTCAAATTTTAATTCGCCGGCCTCCTTCGACCTCGTTATTATCAGGGAAAAAATTCGCCGGCCTCCCTCAAGTTGGCACCGGGGGACAGGTTTACCTACTAAAAGAGAACCCTGGGCCCCCGCCCTTTCCGGGAACATGTGGTTCCAGCTCGGGACAGCCATGTTAGATACCCCTCTGCGTGACTTGGATACGCTAAATTCGCGCTCCCGCTCGAGACATCCTCACAACGTCTTCCCTGGAGAGGCCCCCAAAGCGCACCCCCTTGTTCAGAGCAAGAAGCCATCACTTTTCCTCATAATTCGGCGTTGGGCCCGACGCCATGTTAGATACCCCAACTCTGCAAAACCAGCGTTTCGCTCGAGACATCCTCAACAAATTCTGAAAAGCAAGCGTTTCGCTCGAGACATCCCCCAACTCTGCAAAACCAGCGTTTCGCTCGAGACATCCTCAACAAATTATGAAAACAAGCGTTTCGCTCGAGACATCCTGCCAAAATCCCAAGACATCTAAATTCCTGCGCGCGGGACGCGGCACGCGCGAGACATCCTCAGAATTCCTGCGCGAGGGGCGCTTTTCCGTGTCGCGGTCGGCTCTGCAAAACCAGCGTTTCGCTCGAGACATCCTCAACAAATTCTGAAACCAAGCGTTTCGCTCGAGATATCCCCAACTCTGCAAAACCAGCATTTCGCTCGAGACATCCTCAACACATTCTGAAAAACAAGCGTTTCGCTCGAGACATCCTCAAAAATAGTTCCGCCGGCCCTACTCCCGCACGTAATTTATCGCAGAATAATTTCGCCGGCCCATCAGCCGTCAGATCCGTCAGAGAACCCTGGGCTCGAGCCCTTTCCGGGAACATGATGGACCCACGAACCCGGAAAGGGATATAGACATGTGGAGCATGGACACGTTTTCACGATACCCAACTGGGCAACACCTCACGAAACATCCCACGAGACACCTCACGAAACAGCCCACGAGACACCTCACGAAACATTCCACGAGACACCTCACGAAACATTTCACGAGACACCCCGCGAAACATTCCACGAGACACCCCACGAAACATTCCACGACGACAGGCAACCCCTCAACCAAGGCGGTGTGGTCGTGCTGGGGAGTGGTCGTGCTGGGGTGTGGTCGTGCTGGGGGGTGGTCGTGCTGGGGGGTGGTCGTGCTGGGGGGTTGGTCGTGCTGGGGGGTGGTCGTGCTGGGGCGTGGTGTGTGTTCTTTTCCGTCTCAGTTGTTTTTTGCCCCCCACCCCCCCCCCCCCCCCCCCCCCCCCCCCCCTATATTTCATTTTTATTTTTGTGAGGGCGTTTGGTCGTGTGGGGCGTGGTCGTGCTGGGGCGTGGTCGTGCTGGGGCGTGGTCGTGCTGGGGTTTGGTCGTGCTGTGGTATGGTCGTGCTGGGGTGCGGTCGTGCTGGGGTGTGGTCTTGCTGGGGTGGGGTCGTGCTGGGGTGTGATCGTGCTGGGGTGGGGTCGTGCTGGGGTGTGGTCGTGCTGGGGTGTGGTCGTGCTAGGGTGGGGTCGTGCTGGGGTGGGGTCGTGCTGGGGTGTGGTCGTGCTGGGGTGTGGTCGTGCTGGGGTGTTGTCGTGCTGGGGAGTGGTCGTGCTGGGGTGGGGTCGTGCTGGGGTGGGGTCGTGCTGGGGTGGGTTTCGTGTGGGGTGCTCCGCGCCTGTGATTTACTTGTCGGGTCGTGCATGACTGGGGTGTGGTCGTGCTGGGGTGTGGTCGTGCTGGGGTGTGGTCGTGCTGGGGTTTGTGGTCGTGTGGGGGTTGTGTCGTGTGGGAGTGTCGTGAGGGGTGTTGTCGTGCTGGGGGTGGTCGTGCGCGGGGGTGGTCGTGCTGGGGGGTGGTCGTGCTGGGGGGGTGGTCGTGCTGGGGCGTGGTCGTGCTGGGGCGTGGTCGTGCTGGGGCGTGGTCGTGCTGGGGTGTGGTCGTGCTGGGGTGAGGTCGTGCTGGGGTGTGGTCGTGCTGGGGTGTGGTCTTGCCGGGGTAGGGTCGTGCTGGGGTCGGGTCGTGCTGGGGTGTGGTCGTGCTGGGGTATGGTCGTGCTGGGGTGGGGTCGTGCTGGGGTGGGGTCGTGCTGGGGTCTGGTCGTGCTGGGGTGTGGTCGTGCTGGGGTATGGTCGTGCTAGGTGTGGTCTGGCTGGGGTGGGGCCGTGCATGGAAACAAGCGTTTCGCTCAAGACATCCTCAAATTTTAATTCGCCGGCTCGTTATTTATCATGGAAAAAATTCGCCGGCAAATCGCCGGCTCGTTATTTACCAGGGAAAAAATTCGCCGGCAATTCGCCGGCTCGTTATTTATCAGGGAAAAAATTCGCCGGCCTCCTTCAAGCAGGCACCGGGGGACAGGTTTACCTAGTACAAAGAGAACCCTGGGCTCATGCCCTTTCGCGGAACAAGCGTTTCGCTCGAGACTCCTCAAATTTTAATTACATCCAGCAGCTCATTATTTTATCTGGAAAAAAATTGCCGGCAATTCGCCGGCTGTTATTTACCAGGGAAAAAATTCGCCGGCAATTCGCCGGCTCGTTATTTATCTGGGAAAAAATTCGCCGGCCTCCTTCAAGCAGGCACCGGGGGACAGGTTTACCTAGTACAAAGAGAACCCTGGGCTCTTGCCCTTTCCGGGAAAAAATCATGGCAGAACAAACGGTCGAGACATCCTCAAAATTCCTGCGCGCGGGACGCGGCACGCGCGAGACATCCTCGGAATTCCTTCGCGCGGGGCGCTTTTCCGCGTCGCGGTCGGGGCTCCAGACCGTGTTATTTGTCGAGGATTCTGCGAAAAGCGCTCCGCACCCTCTTTTCTACGAGGGAAAACGGAGGTCTGCGGGCCCCGTTTTTTTATCGAGGATCCGAGATGGGGGGCGCACTTTCCTCGAGCGGGCACGCACGAAACGCACTTTTTCGACTGAAGATCAGCACTTTACCTCGCTATTTACGCAGAATAATTTCGCCGGCCCCCTTCAAGTCGAAACCGAGGGTTAACCAACTAAAAGAGAACCCTGGGCCTACGCCCTTTCCGGAAAAAGTGCGTAGTCCCAGCTCGGGACAACCATGTGAGATACCCCCCTGGGCGGCTTGGACACGTAAAAACACATGGTTCCAGCTCGGGACCACCATGTTAGATACCCCCTGGGTTGCCTGGACACGTGTATACACGTGGTGGTTCCAGCTCGGGAACCACCATGTTAGATACCCCCTGGATGGCCTGGACACCCTTAAAAACATGATCGACCCACGAACCCGGAAAGGGATATAGAAATGTGGAGCATTGAAACGTTGCCCAAACACCAAACTTGGGCGACGGGAAATTATAATGCTCAAGGTAACGATCGTGATGTACCGTGCCACGGGCTGTGCTATGCTGTGTCGTGTTGTGCCGTGCTGCGTTGAGTTCAAATGTGTCATGCCGCGTTGAACTGTGCCGTGCGCTGTTGCATTCTGGATCAAGCCGTCCTTGGCGCCCGACTCCTGCCCGAACTGATTTGGATCTTGAGCTCGAGCTGCCTGAACGCATAGCTCGGGCTCGTTGCAGTCGAAACGTGCGGGTCGCTAGACCACCCTCATCATCATCACCACCACCACCACCATCATCATCATCATCAGCATCACCGTCATCATCATCATCATCATCATCATCATCATCATCATCATCATCATCATCATCATAATCATCATCATCATCATCATCATCAGCATCATCATCGTCATCATCATCATCGCCATCATCATCATCAGCAGCAGCAGCATCGTCATCATCGTCATCAGCATCATTACCATGACCATATTATTGTAAATACTAAGAATAACAACAAGACGAAGAAGTATGATAGTAATGATAATAATAGTAATCAGCATCACCACCACCACCACGTCGTCGTCGTCACCTTTTTCATCGTCATCGTCATCGTCACAGTCATCGTCACCAGCACCAGCACCATCATCATCATCATCATCATCATCATCATCATCATCATCATCATCATCATCATCATCATCATCATCATCGATATCGTCCACATGATCCACATCATTATCATCACCATCACCATCACGGTCACCATCATCATACTCATCATCATCATCATCACCATCATCGTAATCATCCTCATCATCATCATCAGCAGCATCATCATCATCATCAGCATCATCAGCATCATCATCATAATCATCATCGTCATCGTCATCATCGTCATCAGCATCATCATCATCATCAGCAGCATCATCATCATCAACAACAGCATCACCATCATCATAGTCATCGGAGCCATCATCATCACCACCACAACCATCATCATCATCAACATCATCATCGTCATCATCATGCTCATCCTCATTTCCTCCTCCTCCTCCTCCTCCTCCTGGTCCTCATTATCCTCATCCGCCTCATCCCCTATCATCCTCCTTCTCATCCTCCTCCCCCTCCTCGCCCCCCTCATGCTCCTCATCCTCTTCCTACCTCTGATCATTTTTCATCATCATCTTGCTCCTCCTCCTCCTCCTCATCATCATCATCATCATCGTCATCCTCCTCCTCTTCCTCCCCCTCCCCCTCCTCCTCCTCCTCCTCCTCCTCCTCCGCTTCCTCGTTCTCCTCCTCCTCCTCCTCCTCCTCCTCCTCCTCCTCCTCATACTCCTCCCCCCTGGGCGGCCTGGACACGTGAGAACACGTGGTTCCACCTCGGGACCACCATGTTAGATACTCCCTTCGTGTGGCCTGGGCACGTCGCTCGTACCATGTTTTTTTGTTTGCAACGGAGACGGCCGAACGCGGTTCCACGGAGTCGAGGCGCGCACACGCTTGACATCGATTCAAACAAGCGGCAGCACGCTACGCCTGACTCGCGCGTGAAGCGCTGGCAACAAAATCTGGCACGCAACACAGCGCCCCCGCTGGCTGGCCGTCCCCTGCTGCTCACCCTCGAATCCTCTATTCACTATCGGCAAACTGCTGATCGCGGTGTCACGGAAAAAAGGCGCGCACACGCTTGCCATCGATTAAAACAAGCGGCAACGCGCCAAGCTTGACGACCATTCGGACGACCTGGCAGCACATTCTTGTTTTGCAGGTGGGAGTAGGGAGGAGGGAGAGGAGGAGACCGCAGGGGAAGGAAGAACAGGAGAAAGAGAGGATGCGCTCTGTCACAACAGGACACTGTACATATGTACGCTCTGTCGTCGCAGATCCCTATAGGTCTCTGGAATTCGACGTAAATGTCGGCGGGACACACCAATTTACCCCTTGCGGGCGGGCGGGAGGGCTCGACCGCCCCGCGCGGAGCTGGGAGCCCTCGGCTCAGTAGCCAATTGCGACGGAACCCTTTAAATCCGAAGCTTGACCATACAACCGCGCCTCGAGGGACAACATCTTCTGGCACCCTTTCTCAGGCGCCGCCGCCTCCGTGTGGTCATCCTCTCCCAGCAGCCTCATACGAAAAGACCTGCCTGCAACATCTCCTGGTTCCGCACCGACGGAAACTCCCCCTCCGTGGGCCTCGCCGACCAGCCATAACTGGGGGAGCTGTGGTCCTTACCCCCCTGGGGGAAACCATCGCGTCGACGATCTCTCGAGAGGGGTGTCAAAATCGATGGGACCCCCAGGGGGGTCAGGACCACAGCTCCCCCAGTTGTGGCTGGCCTGCCTCGAGGCCGCGGCCCAAGCGACCTGCAGCGCATCCCTGCCAGCCCCGCCGACGCGGGCATTGCCAGAGAGCACGAGGCGCCTCAGCGACGGCAGCGCCTCCGGGGAGGCCAGCGCATCCGCCAGGGCCCGCGCGCCGCGGTCGCCGATGCCGTTGCCCGCGAGGTTGAGGGCCTCCAGGGCCGGCAGGGCGCCTGCTCGCCATCGCTCGGACGTCCATTCCCTGTGCTTTTCTCGGCTTCGTGCGTGGCTTTTGCGCCAAATGATCAAGGATGCTCCTCGATGGTCCTCGCCGAAGGAAAAATGCACACGTCCGAGCGATGCCCAGGCCTGGAGTGGCAGCGGCCGCCGCCAGCCGCGCGGCGCCCTCGTCGCCGACGCGGTTGCCGATGAGGGCGAGCCCGCGCAGCGACCTCAGCGCACCTGGCTCGGCCGCGGCCTCTGCCAGTCGCGCCGCGCCCCGGTCGCCGACGGCGTTGTGGTTGACGACCAGCCCCTCGAGGGCCTGCGGCCCCCCCGGAGCAACCAACGCCTCCGACAGCTTCGCGAAGCCGTCGTCGCCGATGCGGCTATCGATCACGCCCAGCCCCCACAGCTTGGGCATGCCAGAGGCGATCAGGTCGGCGAGCTGGCCCGCCTCGGAGTCGCCCCACCCACTCGACACGTAGTGGAGAAGTGAGATCTTGCAGATGCGTGACTTGAACGTGTCGGAGTAGATCCCCGCGACCCTGAGCCTGTCGACTTTCCCCGCGGTGAAAATTTTGCGCTCGAGACTGGCCTCAAAGGCCTCTGGGATGGCTGGGGCGAGCTGGCTCACTGCACAGGTGCCTGCCAAGCAGCTGTCCCTGACGCGGTTACCATCGGTAGTAGCCAGGAAAACCTCCTCCGCTCCAGTGGCCCTCCCAAGGTCCAAAGAAAAGTGGGAGTGCTTGACCATCCTGGCAAGGGAGAGCTCCATGAAACACCAGCCACGATTCATGTAGGACTCAACGTTCCCAGAGCGGTCGTACACGCCAGGGTCGTCATAGTCGGGCGGGAACTGGGTCAGCATGAAGACGATAGTATGCGGGTGGGAATATAAGATCCCGAGCGAAGTCAAGGCCTCCTTGAACAACATCTCTTCTGAAATGAAACGCCCGACTGCACCATCCGCGAACCCGCTGTCGTCCTCCAGCCACGCGAAGGTCCTCTGCTGCGGAATGCCCTCGCGGTCTCGGCACGCTTGATGGAGGCCGCAGAGATCGAAGAAAACCGACCAGACGCCCGGTCCAAACGCATCCGCGCGGAGCAGGAGCGCCAGGGCCCTCCCCAAGACCCTGAGGTTGTATCCGAGCGGGTCGGGGTGGCGCGGCTGCAGCCAGCAGTGCGACACGCACACGATACGCAACACCGCCGTGAAAAGAGGAAAGGCGCCTTTTTGCGACTGCCCGATCGTCTCTGGAACCTGATGAGTGGCCGCCCTCACTGTGCTATGGGACGCGAAAGCGGCAGGCGGCAGTGTCTGGCGCGGTTGAAGGATGCCCCCCGAGCTTGCCAGCTGAATCAACGACCCTGCGTCCAGCAGAAGAAGGGCACCACTCGCAAGCACTGGGTCAAGCTCGAGGCCTCCGCGTTCGACCCACAGCCGCTGCCGCTCTTCAGGCACCTCCACCTCCAGCAGCTGGGGCAGATGTGGCAGGCCCTCGTTGGGAACCGCCACATGTTCGACTACCTGCGCGGGCCCTTCGGAACACTGGCACTGGCACGCAGCACTGAGCATCTGCTGGAGCCAGCAACCTCACCGCGAATGTGCACTTGAAATCGCGCGGGAGGGCAAAAGGCGAACTGCTCTCCGCTTGAGCCAAACATGATTGCGCATGCCAAAACTATATTCCTTCTGGGCCCCCTGGGGCATCCTTGGGCGTCCAGGTTCCTGGAAGTCTCCCAAACCAGTGTTTCGCACGAAACGTCCTCAAGAAATTCTGCAAAACGAGCGTTTTGTTGGAGACATCCGCAACAGACTTGACCCTATGCTTTACCGATCAAAATTTCAAACACCATCGTTTCGCTAGGGAACTCCTGAACTGTTTGATTCGCCGGCCCTACGCGACCTCGTTATTGCTCGCCGAATAAATTCGCCAGCCCTACGCAAGTCGAAACCAAGGGTAAACAAACTAAAAGATAACCCGGAACCGTGGACGCAACATGGGCAACGATCGTCCCATGATCCACAAACGGAGCCGGAATTGAATCCGCCGACCCTGTCGGCGTGTGGGAGAGTCTGTTCCGTTTGACTCGTCGTCGTCGCCGTCCTCGTCGTCGTCGTCGTCGTTGTCGTCGTCGTCGTCGTCGTCGTCGTCGTCGTCGTCGTCGTCGTCGTCGTCGTCATCGTCGCCTTCGCCGCTCGCTTCTCCCCCTTTCCCTAGGCCCGTCGCCGTTCCCCCCACTCTCACCGGGTTCTCCTCCTCGAGCGCGCCAGTCACAGCGAAATTGAGCAACGTTGTAGTTGAGTCGACAGGAAGCCCCTGCCCTTTGATCCCTTCCCCGCCGGGGGGGGGGAGGGAATCCCAGGGGTGAGGTCCGGGGGGTCCCGGGGGGGTCCCGGGGGAGGGTCCTGGGGGGTCCCGGGGCAGATACGACTCCCCCTCGGGCGGTTTGGCGGCCAAGGAAAGCCGCAGGACGCGGCAAAACTGCCCTCCCCCAAAACGTTCCTCGAGGGCCCCGAATCGCCGAAGTATCGGTCCAAGTCACCAAAGTAGCCTCCAGAGGGCTCAAAAGGTGTCCAAAACGCCTCAAGAGGTATCAAAGAGGACTTCCAAGAGGGTCCCCAGAACCAAAATCATAGATTTCGGCATTCTCGCCTTGTCAGTCAGCTTCCCGACGCTCCAAGACAGGCCAAGAAGCTCCGAAGACCGCCCCAAGATGGCCCAAGAGGCTTCCAAGAGAGCCCCAAAACGACCCAAGAGGGCCCCAAGACCGACCAAGACGGCTCAAGACAGCCGAAGAGGAGGCCCCCAAGACGGCTCCAAGGATGAGCCCAGACGGGGGACCCGAACGGACATTTCGAGCCCTCGGCCTGAGAAGCACTCAGGAGGCCCCCAGAGGTCCCTAAGGAGCCCCCCAAGAAGACCCAAGAAGCCTCCAAGAGACCCCAGGAAGCGCCAAGAGGCCCCCACGAGGCTTCCAAGCGGCCCCCAAGAGCTTCCCAAGAGGCCTCCAAACAACCCCCAAGAGGCCACCGAGAGCGCTCGTCGTCGTCGTCGTCGCAACTCAGGGTCGGCGGCACCGGCCGTAAGGCCTGCGAAATATAGAAATGTGGGGCATGGCAACATGTTCAAGACACCTGATTGGGCGACGGGCAATTGCAATGCTGAGTGTATCGATCTTAACGTACCGTGCCAAGGGCTGTGCTGTGCTGCGCCGTGCTGAATTGCGATGTGCCATGCCGCGATTGTGCTCTATGGCGTTGTAGATCGAGTCCTCCGTTGCATCCGTGTCCTGACCGAACTGATCTGGATCTTGAGCTCGAGCTGCCTGCTCACATAGCCGCTGCCCAAGAGCTAATTGCCAGGGGGACACGCCAGAGGGGCGCGCCGCGGAACGTCCCAAGGGACGCGCCAGGAACATGCCAGGGAACGCGCCAGGGGGACGCACCGCGGGACGTGCCAAAGGGACGCGCTACGTGCCACGGGACGCGCCAGGGGACGTGCCGCGCGGCGCGCCAGGGGGACTCGCCACAGGACGTGCCACGGAACGTGCCAGGGAACGTGCCAGGCGACGCGCCAGAGAACGTGCCAAGAACGCGTCGGGGAACGTGCCACGGGACGTCCCGGACCCAGGGCCAGGGCCCCTTGTAAATTACAGTGCGTCTGCGATCTTTGTTTTTATCCCATTGCATGCGCGGCTGAACCAACCACGCCGCAGAGACAACAGCCCTGTCAGGGTGACACTCACCTCAGACAGGAAAAGGCTTCTCACTTAAGTGAGGCAGACGCGCGAAGCGCGGAAAGAAGCACAACTCATATCAGAGAGGCGCGTTGGATACTGGGTGGCGGCCTGCGAGAGTGCGTCGCACCCTCGTGTCCGCTCCCAGCCGACTGCTTTTACGTTTGGGCACGCCCTTACACGTGGCCCTCAAGTTTTTCGCATTCCCCCCCGCCACTTGGTCAGAGGCCTCCTAGGTGGGGTCAGAGTAGATGGGGTCGGAGGATCTTGCCGCATCGCCGATACATCGGCGATGCATCGTCGATGCATCGGTGATGCAACGGCGACGCATCGTCGAAGTCGGCGATGCGTCGGCGACATCGACGCGAAGGAAATCGGCCTCCGCATCGAGCCGCATCGCGGATGCATCAGCGAGGCGGCGCGATCCTCCGACCCCATCTACTCCGACCCCATCTAGGAGGCCTAGATTGGTACGCCCCACAGATACGACAACAGAAAGCGTCCCCGCGCCTCGCGCAGTCGTGGCCGAGGGACCTGAGCAGCGCGTCGATATCCGCGGCAGGGGCAGAGGGAGGAGGCGTCCGCGCTCCCAGGGCCACGGACCCCTTGCAAACTGCGCTGCGCCCGCGCTCCAAGGGCCGCGCTCCCTCGTAAACTACGCTGCGTCCGCGCTCCCAGGGCCGCGCTCCCTCGCGAATGGCGCTGTGCCTTCGCTCCCCGGGCCACGTTCCCTCGTGAACTGCCGCCCCCCCAGGGCAAGGACCCCTGATCACTCATGCTGCGCCCGTGCTCCCAGGGCCACGATCCAGTGAAAATTACGCTGCGTCCGCGCTCCCAAGGCAAAGATCCACTTTAGATTATGCTGCGTCCGCGCTCCCAGGGCCACGATCCCTGGTAACTTACGCTGCGTCCGCTCTCCCTGGGCCACGATCCCAAGTAAATTGCGCTGCGTCCGCAGTTCCAGGGCCTCCTGGGGCATCATTGGGCGTCCAAGTCTCCCAAACAAGCGTTTCGCTCGAGGACTCCTCAACAAATTCTGAAAACGAGCGTTTCGCTCGAGACATCCGCAACAAACGAAAGCTCATCGACCTACGAACCCGGAAAAGACTATAGACATGCAAGGCATGGCGACGTTTCGAGGACACCTGATTGGGCGACGGGCAAATGCAATGCTGATATCGATCTTGATGTACCGTGCCGAAGGCTGTGCTGTGCTGCGCCGTGCTGAACTGCGATGTGCCATGCCGTGATTGTGCTCTCCTTTGCATGCGAGTCCTGACCGAACTGATCTGGATCTTAAGCTCGATGCCAGGAGGACGCACCGCGGAACGTCCCAAGGGACGCGCCAGGCGACGTGCCAGGGGACGTGCCATGGGGCCGCACCGCGGGACGTGCCAAAGGGACGCGCTACGGAACGTGCCAATGGACGTGCCACAGGATGCGCCAGGGGACGCGCCGCGCGACGTGCCAAGGGGACTCGCCACGGGCGCGCCACGGAACGTGCCAAGGAGCGTGCCAAGTTTCAATGCCGAGTGGATTGCCGTGCCGAAAGCTGTGCTGTGCTGCGCCGTGCTGAATTGCGATGTGCCATGCCGCGATTGTGCTCTATAGCGTTGTGGATCGAGTCCTCCTTTGCATCCGAGTCCTGACCGAACTGATCTGGATCTTAAGCTCGAGCTACCTGAACACATAGCTGCCCCAGAGCTATTTGACAAGGGGGCATGTCAAGAGGACGCGCCGCGGAACGTGTCAAGGGACGCGCCAGGCGACGTGCCAAGGAACGTGCCACGGGGACGATCGCGGGACGTGCCATGGGGACGCTCTACGGATTGTGCCAATGGACGTGCCACGGGATGCGGCTGGGGACAAGCGTTTCGCTCGAGACATCCTGCCCACATCCTCATGCTAGACATCCGCCTGGGTGACCTAGACACGAGAAAACAAGCGATTCGCTCAACACATCCTCAACACATCCTAATGCTAGACATCCGCCTGGGCGAACTGGACACGTGAAAACTAGCGGTTCGCTCGAGACATCCTCAACACATCTTCATGTTGGACGTCCGCATGGGTGACCTGGGCACGCGAAAACAAGCGTTGCGCTCGAGGCGTTCACAACAACTCCTCATGCTAGACATCCGCCCGAGCGACCTGGACACGTGAAAGCCAACGTCTCGCTCGAGACATCCTCAACACATCTTCATGTTAGACATCCGCCTGGGCGATCTGGACACGTGAAAGCAAACATTTCGCTCACAACAATCTCGACACATCCTCATGCTAGACATCCGCCTGGGCGACCTGGACACGTGCAAACAAGCGTCTCGAACGAGACTTCCTCAACACATCCTCATGCTAGACATCCGCCTGGGCGACCTGGGCGCGTGAAAGCAGAGGTCTCGATCGAGACTCTGTCAACAAATCCTCATGCTAGACATCTGCCTGGGCAACCTGGACGCGTGAAACCAAGCGTCTCGCTCGAGACATCCTCAAGACCTGGACACGTGAAAAACATGATCGAACCACGAACCCGGAAAGGAATATAGAAATGTAACGCATGGCAGCGTTTTCAAAGACAACTGATTGGGTGACGGGCAAATGCAGTTCTGAGTGTATCGACCTTGGTGTACCCTGCCGAGGTCTGTGCTGTGCTGCGCCGTGCTGAATTGCGATGTGCCATGCCGCGATTGTGCTCTATAGCGTTGTGGATCGAGTCCTCCTTTGCGGATCGAGTCCTCTTTGGCATCCGAGTCCTGACGAACTGATCTGGATCTTAAGCGCGAGCTGCTGGAAAACCACATAGTAGCTGCCCCAGATGGTAATTGACAGGGGACATGCAGGAGGACGCGGCGCGTAACGTCCCAAGGGAAGAGCCAGGCGACGTGCCAGGGACGTGCAATTGGGGCCGCACGCGGGGACGTGCCAAAATGACGCGCTACGG